TATGACGTTTCCGCTGATGGAACTTAAAAATTGAGTCCAAATGTTTAGTAAATATTTTATCTAATATTCCAAATGGGTACAAATATTTCATATTTATATCATATCCAAATATTTATATATGACAGACAGCATAAAAAAGTAACGTTTAGGGGTACAATTTCTGCTTTGTCTGTAGTTTCTATATTTTTATTTTCGTAAACATAGAGGGGCTGGTGTAGCACTTCTTCATCAAACTTTAAATATATTTATAGTATTTATTTTTTTTTGTTTTTTGATCAATGAATGAAAAAAAAGAGAAGAATTTGATACTTCATTAAATATTTGAAAATTTAAAGTTTCATCAGCAGAAACGAAAAGTTTATTTTAAGTGGTATTCGAAATTTTTGGTTTAATTATTTTTCAAGAAGTTCTTATAGACTTTTGCCTTTTATTTTTTATCACATAAAATTTTACCATATTTTTCTCTATATTTTTAATTTTAAAACTTTTCTATATTTTTAATTTTAAAACTGCTTTTTTAATTTATTTATTTTTTATCACACATTTTTTTTTTAAATTTCAAAATGATTTGGTGTTAATAGATTAAATTAATTGATTAATTTTGTACAAAAATTTTAAAACCTAAACATTCCTCATTACTTTAAAACGGGGACAACGATATAAGAATCGCGTCTAATAATTGAATTTAATTTTATTGACGTCATTTTTGTATAGACCTTTTAATGGCTTTTAATATGGTTTATTTTGTAACGGCTTTATTAGCATTATTTGACGTCTGATGACCGTCTGAGCTACTTGTTAATTTAATTTAAAAACGTTTTAGTAACTGTTATTTATGCTTTGCATCATATTATAACTTATGTGCTTCAAAAAAAAAATTTTTGAAACAATTAAGTCTCAAAACTTTTAAACATTTTCAAGTTAAATTGCTTCTGTTTAAATACTTAATTTTTTAAAACGTTTTTAACTTCAGAATGTTATAAAGAACTGAATCGATTCTAATAAAAGTTTAAAATCCAAAACGAAAAAGTTATATTTAGTTTTTAAAGGGTAATAGGTTATATTTAGTTTTTAAAGTTATATTTAGTTTTTAAAGGGTAATATTAGCTTTTAGAGAGTAACAGCTTAGTCAAAAAAAATTAAAATAAGGTCAAGAACTAAAAGCATAAGAATTCAAAGCACATAAACTGAAAGTAAGAAAAAAAGATACGCCAGTAAAGATAAAAAAAGTAAAGAAAAAATTTATTTGTAAATTTATTTTTCCTACTTTAAAAAAAAATGTGTTATTGAAAATCTTAAAACTAAATAGAAATATTATTTACAACTATAATTATTTTTATTTTACGTTTATTTGCTTTTGTAAATAATGTAAATTATTATTATAATTAAGATTATTTAAGCAGCTCACTTAGATTTTTAAAGTTTTTTTTGAATAATTTTTAAAATAAATTGGTTTATAAAATTTTTTGATTCCTATATAACATAGGAACTCAACTTTTTATGTTAAATATTTTGTTTGTGACATTAGCTAGCTTAACACCTTGGTTTATCTGGACCTCTAAGTTATCAGTAATAATGTTTTTATTATATAGAGCAGTGCATTACGTTGGGCTAACGTCAGAGCAACATTGGATTGTTTTGCTTAAACGTGTTGTGTTGCTTAGGTTTGTAAATTTACCTTTATGACAAAAGCTGTTGCTTTTTTTTTTACCCAAGTTTATGTTCAACAACTAAAAACATTATTTATGATTTTATTTATTTGGCACTTTTTAGCAGTTTTAATTTATAAGAGACTACCTACTGGGCACAGGACTTAAAAAGACGTCTTTTGAAAGTAATATAATACTAATTAAATCTCAATTAAAGATTTATTAGAGAACAAAAGTTTTCTTTGAATGAAATTTTTTTATTCAAAATTAAAAACAAGTTTCTAAATTTTGCCTAAAACCATTTTGTTTTTAGTGTTACAGGTCCATTGCGTCTGTTTTCATTTATTTATGCACTAATAATAACGTTATTTAATAAAGTTGTCACTTTTAAATTACATAAGTAAAAATTATAACTTTTAAAATTATAACTTTTAAAAACTATAACTTTTAAAAACTAAAACTTTTAAAAATGATAACTTTTGTTTATTTTTAAAAATCAAAAGTGGACAATTTTTATTATATAAAAGTTTTGTTAATAAAAAATAATTTTTCTTTTTAAAAAAGTTTATGCATTTAGATAATAAATAAAACTGTATCAACAAAAAATGTTTTACTTTTTAATTATTAGACTAATATGTCCATTTCTTCCTAATATTTTTTTTTTAATTTATTCGGCAGCAATAATATTACCCCAAACAGACATTTATTTTAGAATTTTTTTGAATCTGATGTTTATTTCAAAGTTGTCGCTTTTTAATGTGAAATTTTGATACAAAAAATTATGCTAAATGAATGTGAAGTGTTAAATACATTTATCATTCGATGAAATACATTTATCATTTGTTGAAATACATTTATCATTCGAGAAAACTATTTATCAAAATCAATTGATCCGTTGACACGACACTATAAATAAACCCAAATTACTTTTTAACAACAAGAACAACAAAAAAAACATGCTTTATAGTACTTCTATAATAACAGTGTTTGCATTATATATTAACAACTAAGGAATTATCCAATAGAAAAAGTTGAAACATTAGTCACAACCTGAAATATATTTTGGCAAGAAGTATCATGATCTACAAAAAGAAAAAACGTTCTTTAGAAGTATTACTTAAATATTAAATATTATTATTTGAACCATCTTAGCGCTTTTGATAGATATATGATATAATTTGATTGATTGTACAAATTGATATATAACACATTTATTTACATCTTAAAAATTTTAAAGTATTTCAGATATCAAAAATATTTAGGTTAAGAAATCGATAGACTTTTATTTTTAAAAATGTAGTTGAAGAAAATTTAAAAATAAACATACTTTCTTCGTAAATACAAAATTTTTATAAAAAGTATATATTTACAAAATATATGCTATACATTATTCTGTGATAACTGATATCAATTTTGTCAAATATAAATAGATATAATATAATTAGAATGTCAAAAGAAACACAAGTTGTATACAGTTTTTAAAACGATAATAAGCCTCAATCCAAAACATGTTGGCAATTTTGGCTATTATTGCCTGATAAATATTTTACTTGAGAAAACGCATTGTATCGTATCGTATCAAATTTTGGAAAACGAGGACCTTTTTTTTTTTTAGTCGGCAAATGTTGTAATGGCACCCCCCCCCCACCCCTACGTGACACCTACTCGCGCTGGCCCTGATCGTATCGTAACGTATCGTCAACTTTTACAAATGTAAATGCTATACATTTTTTTTTTGCACGACTTCATAAAACTTTTCAAACTTGACAAGTGAACCTTACAGATTCAAAACCTCATGAGGCAGTTATTAAAAAGAATAAAAATGTGTACATTTGCAAAACAAGAAACAGAATCTTGATACATTAATGTTGCACCTCCAATAATAAAACACAAGACTTATACAGATAAGTTTCTCGAGCATAATACCAAAAACTTAAAAGCTGCAATATTATTTGGTTGCCATAAAAGTTGCAAAATTATTTGGATGCAATAAAAGCTGCAATATTATTTGCTTATAATTTCAAAACAGTTGAAATAGCTTTAGGCTTGGATTCACTATCAATAACTTTTAAAAGCAATATTTAAGCTTGGGTTTTTTTACTAAATAAGACATAACTATATAATTTCATTTAGCATCAAGCCCTAACTCAGATTTAAAAGTAATTTGTTTTTATTAAAATATTACTGTAGAAAGATAACAAATTATTGCTGTTTTTATTAAAATATTGCTGAAGAAAGATAACAAAAATAATAGTCGCCTAAACGACAATATTCTTTGCATTATTTATTAGTAAAATTACTTAATATAAGTATATTCACAGAGTTTGTATTACTTGTGTCAATTTTTTTGAATGACAAGTTAAGGTATTTATTTATTGGTTTATTATTGTGATTTTGTTTGTGTTTGTATAGTTATGCGTGTATGCGTGCAGGGAAGGGAGTGTAGAGTGTATAATGGCGTTTATATAATAGTTGCTTGTGTGCAATAACGCACTTCGAATTAAGTGATTGTTATTACTATTACCAATATACGCATTACTTTTATTTGTATGACTTATTTTAATTTTATTTATTAACAAGTGCTTTGATTATTATTTCTGCAACGTTATATATTAACATTTATTTGATATTGAAACTTTTAGTGTTTATTTGCATAACAATAACTTTGGATAATTCCAAATTCCATAAATTCCAAAATGTTTATCAGATATGCCGAAGAGACCTTCGTTAAAAAAAAAAAGAAGAACCGGCGGGACAATTCGGAGACACATCTTGTGTATAAGAGAACAATTTAAGAATTATTTAGAAAACTCCTTAAGCATAAGCTTCTTTGAAAATATTGTGTTTGCTTGTGATTTTATATTAACAATGTTAACATTGCTATTGGAATGAAACACTTGTTAGTTGCAAATAAAATAAATAAACATGAATAATATGCTGTATTGAAAAGAATAATAAATCATGTGTTATTTTCATGATCAAATTTGGTTATTTAGCTGTTTATTATTTGCTGAACTCGCGTTAAACAATTATTACTTAACACGCGCTGTTCCACCTTTATGATCCATAAAGATCTAAGCCCCGAAAAACTAACATCTGTGCAAATAGATAAAGTCGTTGACAGTTATTTTCATCTAATAATGTTGACCTTTTAGATAACAGAGAGGTATAGAAAAGTTATTAATGGCTTATAAAAATTTTCATTTCAAAGATGCAATTCAAAAAACGAAAGAAAAAAATATTAACTTTTATAAAATTTTTGTTAATTATAACTATGTATACCATGTTAAATCAAACAAAGTAGAAATCTAAAACAAAAATAAGACAATAAAAAAATAAAGAATAACTTACTTGCTACTACTGATTGATATGCAAGTAGTAAAACCAAAATCTTCGTTACCGCCCTTGGAATCATATTTTGGCAAATTATTAGCAAGTCTATATTTACAAGTTTAGCTGACTTTAACTAAGTCTCCCATAAACAGTAAACTTTAAAAAGCTTTTCTACTGTTTCAAAGGAGATAACCTATGAGTTGCTCATGTATTTCTAAACGTTTGTATGAATTTCAATGAATTTGAGATTTTAATATAAATTTTTAAAAAGGGCTTGCTCTAATTTCTTTGATGCCGAACAGCTCTGATAAATAATACGCAATCAAATGTTGACGTATTTTTCTTTGTAAAGTCTTTTGAGTCCAAAGCCAAAGGGAAATCCCAGAGGGTTGATCTCAGTCAATAAGTTTGACGGTGTTGTAAACACTCTAATAAGAAAAAAAAAATTACAAGTTTTGTTCCTTAATTAAACACTTCCTGCTATTTATAATGTTGAGGTAACGGTTTAACTATGATACAAATATTAGGCTAATCGTCTGTATATATAAATATGTATTTAAAAATATGTTTTATTTGTCAGATATTCTAATATCTGTTAATATCTCAATTTTTGTTGAGATATCATCTCTTGATTTCTATTAACATATATCTTCAATCTATTTTCGGCTTTTTCTTTTTTCTTTTTTAAGTATAATTGCAGCGGCGATTAATTAAAGCGACGATTACATTTTCATAAAATGAAATAATAACGTGATTAATATCAGTGACCATATTAATATGATAAAACAAAGAGATCAACATAAATTTCATGGAGTTTTCAGACTGCATTGTAAAACTTACGATCATGTTTAGTAAAAATTTCTTTAATCGTCATTTTTAATATACTCTCTGTTTTTGTATTTCATTTTGCAGCAAATTTTTTTCTAGACGGATTATCTACTTGTAAGGCGAGATTAGGAGCTTATTGTTTTATTTAAGAACCCAACTAAGCAATTAAATTAAATGAACACAGTTTATAAATATCAAAAAAGTGTTTTCTTAAACTGTAAACTTATTTGAACGAACATAATTGATAACTTTTCAGTTTTATTGCTTAATTCATGACTGGTCACTGCATAAAGCTGTTTAACTCTGATTGGTTGATAATAATTATGCTTTTGTAGTATAAACAAGATTATTTGTACCCCCTGGTATAAAAACCATGTACACTTTACATGTTTTTAAAAACGTTCTTTGGTCTCGATTACCCTGTTTAGAGATTATTTTGTTTAATACACCTTATGCTGATGTTGTTTAATACACCTTATATTGCTGTTATGCAATACACCTTATATTGCTGCTGTTTAATACACAACAGTGCATTAAATAACAGTAAAATGTATCCAGTCGCAACATCTTTTTATGTTGTTATGTTGTCGTTAATGTCGTATTATGTTGTTGTGTTGCTGTTGTAATAAATGCATCGTTTAGTATTGTGAAACAATTAATATTATCTTCGACTTAGGTGAAGGACCTTATGTGAGCATGTCAAAAGCATACGGAATATCAATTTTATAAGAGTTTAATTTGTCTTGTGCTGCCTAAGTAACTAAAAAATTTCTTTAAAATGCTTTTTTTATATATAAAATAAAAACCTACCTAGTTTTATATGTTTATAACTGTAACTAAATTAAAAAGAAAAATCATAAAAACAGCTAGTAACAGTATGAATTAGGTACAAGATTTTTTTTAAATCTTCACAGTTCTTTTAACTCCTTTCCAACCCCTTTTATCAAACTTTTTTATCGTTGAAGAAAAATCATCACAAACAATTCCGCTATAATGATTGCATCAAGCCAACAACAAATTCTAGGATATAATTATTTAAGCGACACTGATAAGGTGTTTTCCATTCTTTATCAAAGAAAATATTTAGTTGAAATATTATCACCAGACGAGGTTATCCCGCTAACATTTTCCTTCGTAATATTTTCTTTGATAACATTGCCGTTTTAACTCAACGGATATTAGATATACATCGTGATAATTTTTTTGAGGTAACTGTGTCCCCGGAAATTTTAATAAAATGTAATTTTAAAACAAAAAAAAATGAGTTATTAAGAGAAGTAAGTCCAGGTTTTTATTTCTTTTTTTTTTTTAATATTAACTGAAGTAGTCATCAGACTTTTTTTCTTCGTTTTATTTATGAAAAAATTTTCGCTAGAGTTGTGAACATAGTACGATGGATTCTGGACAAAATACTAACGTTTGTTGTAAACATTTCATTTGAACTTTCTTTCCTAGAATTATTTTTACATGGTAGGGAGTTCCGTTACAATGTTTTGAAAATCCAACAATTTCAAACAATAATTAATGTAAATGATTTAGCTTGCTTTAGCCGTTTTTCATTTTTTGTCTTCATTTCAGTGAATAATTTTTTTTTAAATTTATTGTCTTTATTTCAATGAATAAACTAAATATTCAAAATCTGGAACAGTATTAAAAGTGCTGTTTGTTTTTTTAATCTCAATATTGAACGTTTTATTTAAGGTGGCTCAAATAGAAAAAATACTCTTTTTTTAAAAAAAAATTTGCACCTAATTAAGGTTATAATATTTAACATCACTTTATTGACAAATAAATTTAGATAGTAATTTTATTCTTTTATATACTAAAGTAATCTAAAATGTTATTTTCTTTAAAAAAACATATTATAATAAGTTAAAAAGTAATTTAGCTTATACGTACCTAACTTAAAACCTTTTTCTTTCGAAGTAACAATATTCTAAACAAGAATCAAGATAAGCTTTTTATTACTGCTACACATTATTACATCTAATTATTTATGATAATTACTCAGTTCTCTAAATATAAGTTCTGACGCCTGAAAAATCATATGCCAAAAAAATACGTATTCCTTTCGGTATCCGGCAAAATTGTTTTTTGAAAATTCTCATTGTTAGCCTTGGCAGTGGTTCAATATAGAACTTATAATTTATAAAGTAGAAATTATAATTTTAATAATTATTTTTCATTTGATTTACGTTATTGTTATTATATTATTACACTCGCACCTATTATCTAGAATAATTTATGATCTTAAATTGATAAAAATAAGCAACTACGATAACATTATTATGCCGTATGACTAAAACGTTGCCATCTTTACATTTTAACGATACAATCGTATATTACATTTAAATATTGTAACATTACATTGACACATCAACAAAATTTACATATTTCAGGTGTTGTTAACTTTGGATGAACAATTATTAAAAAAACTAAAGGTGATGTGTTGGCAATTAAATGACTGTGTCGTTTGATACTTAAATAAAAATCTTATAAGAGGGTATAAAAGTTAGAAGAATACACTGAGTTTCATTTTCGAATCTCTTTGTAATCTTCACACTGAGGTTTGAAAGCTGCAATCCAAACAAGAACCACTGTTTTTTTTAGACATGTTAGGCAAAAAAAATCAAAAACTTTTTAACAATTTTAACCTTTAAATTTTATTTTGTTGGCTTAGATTTTATTTCTTTAATAAAAATTGATTTCTTTTTGTAATTATCTCTTTAATAATAAATCATATTGTAATTCGTTTTATATAGCAAATTTTTGTTCACTAAAATCGATCGGCGTCACTTGAAGAACCGATTAAAAGGAGTTTCAAAATTATATTATAATTAAATCTATTTTGAAAGAAGGATCATGGCAATTGATTTGGTGACCTCCTACTCATTTAATGTGAGCCAATTATCTGTACATACATACATACACATATACAAAATAACAAATTTGAAATTTCATTTACTTCTATAAAAAATTCTAACCCTATTTACTTACAAAAAATCGCCCAATATCTTTGCAAGAAAACTTACAAATTAATAAAGTCCTAGTAAATATAAGAACATTTTCTCTGACTATTCTCCATTCATTGTAATACTTGATGTAAAATAAAATTTCTTAGAGTTCTTTCTTAATAAAAAAAGCACATTATTTTATTAATTAAAAAAGCGATATTTCTTTTTAATATAAATAGTGTATATATATGTAGTGGATAGAGTCTTTTGTGGTGCACATCCTGTAACTACGGCATTGGTGATGAAAGATTACGACTAATTTAAAAGTATAAGCACGTGATTACATCTCATCATAAAATATTAAAATTTTCTTTATTTAAAAGCCTACTGGAATCTTTAATTCTCTAGGGACAAAACGTAGATTTCAAGTAATAATAGATGAAAAGTTTCCATCTGATTATAATTTCCTGTTTATAATAAACGTTTAATCATCAGGATATATCAATGTATACTTTTTTATCTTGCTTTATTTTATAAATTTAATATAAAAATTACATATTTTAATGAGGTTTTACTTCATGCAAACAAATGTTTTTTTAAAATTGATGAAATTTATATTAGCAGATGAAAGAAAGCTATCAGAAGACTGAGATGAAAAAAACTGAATACTCCTGTGAAATTAAATCTGACAATTAAATATGTTTTTAAACTAAATAAGCGACAAATTACTTCATTTGAGTATTTATAAAAAGCTTTAACACAAATTTAACACAAACTTTCGATTAAGACGTTAATTAAACGTTCGATTAAGGTTAAAGGCTTTCATAAAATGTCGACTTTTACTTATTTTAGTATTTAAAAAAACAATTCATTTAGAAATTTTGTTATGCATCTAGAAAATCAATTATGAATTTAGACTTTTTAACTAATTATTTGCAAAGCATAAAAATATTTTTAAATTTTATATATTTTCTAATGACTACTTCAAATTGTGTTAAAAATTTGATTTTACAAAACAAGTACACTAACAGTCTCCTTTACAACTTTTTTGGTATTTAGTTTTTCATGAGTTTTATTTTAAAAAACTCTACATAGAAATTTTTAAATGGAGAGTTTCCTTTAAATGCTTAAATTAATCAGGGCCAAAAACACCGGGGGGGGGGGCAGGGGACACGTGCCCTCTTCACTTTTTTTCTAAAGGTCTTTTTTTTTTTAAGAAAAATCTTGATATAGAGGACTTTTTTCACAAATTGATGATTGTACCCCCCACCCCACTTCAAAACCCGTGTCGTCGGCCCTGTTAATCTATCTAAAACGTTTGACCATTTTACTAGAAATCTTAGGATATATGAGATAAGATGTTTGGTAAAAAAGGGAATAAAGGCTTAAATTTGTAAGCATTTATAAATATTTAAATTTAAAAATTTTGGGCACAAATAGCCCTATAGTTTCATCAATCATCCCCCATCCCTAACATGAGAGCAACAAGTTGATAAAGTAGTTTTTTTACTATTCTTAACTAAATTTATATTCATAGATAAATTTTAAGTTTTATAGTATTACCTCTCAACGTTCAAAAATTATGACCATATAAATTTAAAAATCCCCCTCAATTTGAGGGGGTTAAAATTTTTTTATGGTTATAATTTTTGAACGCTTAGAAATAATACTATGGAACTTAAAATTTATCAATAAATATAAATTTAGTTGAAAATAGAAAGAAAAATTATTTTATCAACTGGTTGCTCTCACGTTTGGGGTGTTGGGTGGGGATGAACCTAGAGGGCTTTTTTGTACCCAGTCTCCAATCATCGCAATTTTTTGCAAACCATCATACTTTAACACGAGTAAAAACATACAAATCTTTGGAGCTTGTTCCATGTCTGGAAGTAACTAAATCTCAAACATCAAAAAATGCTGGATCCGTCAAATAATTTTTTTACATAAATAATTTTTATCCAAACATAAAGATTTTTATGTAACTTTATAAAAACGGTGTTTTCAAAATTGGATAAGTTAATTTCTAAAATCGAAAAATTCGAAAATCGGAAATTTATTTATATTTTAAAAATGCAAATATTTTTAGCGTTTACAGCTATATCAAATGGTTCTAAATGTTGATAACTCAGAGAGATAATCTGTATCAGCTGATATCGAAATAACAACGTTGTTTGCGTATTTTATAAATGGGTTTATGTAAAGCTGTTTATGAACCTTCAATTATTTTATCTTAACTTCATTTTCAACTTATCTTAATTTTGTTTTCAAGCTTTTTTTTTTTTCAAGGCAAAATAAAACTTGTTTGTATTTGATGACGTAATTTTTATATGTTTGCTCGTGCTTAATGTTTTTTTTTAATGCATGATATGTAATGAACCATATTTAATGAACTATTTTTAATGAAACATTTGTGATGAAACATTTTTATTGAACCACTTTTTCCTAATTGCTTATACACAAATTGTATATAATTTATCATTTTTTTAAATTTAATATTTCAATACCAAAAGCAAAGTTAATGAGATGAAGTTAATGTAAAACAAAGTTTTTACTAGTAACTTTATCAACATAATACTGACATAATTATTAAGTGTACCGTAAGTTCACTGACATAATTATCAAAAGTGCACCATAAGTTCAAGTAAATTTCTTACAAATTTTATCGATATGAAAGTTTCACGAAAGATGTAATCAATCAATACACCAAGATATTTGATAACTTTAGATATCCAAATTTATATTTTTACGTAAAGAGTGATATAATACGTTGATAACAAGAAACTTGTATCATCAGCGTATAGATGAGCTAATGTGAAAAGGGTTGTTTAGGTGGTTTACCTATATTAAAAACAAAAAAGACTTAGTAAAGTACTTTGAGGAACACCATACACTATGAATTTATTGCTAGATTAATAATTATTTTTACTTACAAATCTTAAAGAAAAGATGGAAACAAGTTTTTTACAACACAATAAATTCCATAATGTTTTAGTTTATAAATCAAAGTTATATATAAGTTTAGTTTATAAATAATAATTATTTTTATAAATAAATTTAATAAAAAATTATTTTTAATTTAAACAAATT